AATAACCCACACCGACCAACAAAAAGAGCAAATAAAAACGGAAAATGATATTTCTCGTTAAAAAAAAGGCTCGGATACTGACAAAGACATACAAAACATGGCCTCTCACAATAAAGATTGAAGCACTGGCTGCAAGAGTAAAAAAAAACTTAACGCCGTTAGTGCTTCTTACGTGTGGTCGTATCCCAGCAACAAAGAACAGTAACCAGGGCTTCTTACGTGTGGCCGCTAGTGCTTCTTACGTGTGGTTGCTCTACACTAACTGTCCGACAACGCTGGTGAAATTTTGGATAACAATAATCAAAGATATAATATCTGCCTACTTCCAATCTCTTTTTCTTAAATGCAAAGAAAAGAAGAGCTGTATGCAAGGAAAAGAAGCCGTGCCGATCACATAGCAAGGATAACTGACAACAGATGGACGAAACGCATTATCGATTGGTACCCACGATATGTGAAAAGATCAGTAGGAAGGCCACCGATGCGTTGGTCCGATCTGCTAACTCGATTATATGGAGTATTGTGGATGAGGTGAGCTTAGGATGGAACTCGGTGGCGTGGTTGTCGGCTTAGTAGTCACTGGAGAAGATCAACAGCGCATCAGTGACGGAAACGCCGCATCAAGTATCAAGGAATCAAACTTCTCACCGGATTTTTCAAAAATAAAGTCGAAAAACGGACCTTCCTTAGGATAATCCAGAATGTTCGTTGCTCGGGAGCTTCAGCACCATACGTAAGAAATACAAAGTAGGTATTTCGCTTGCCGAATGTGCTTGGCTCAAAATTTGTGAACGACCAACTGCTCACGACGAAACCACTGAGCGGTGTCAAATGCAGTGACATTTTATCGACACCACCAAATATTGTGAAATTCATTCGCACTTCTGATTTTGATAGCACAAGTTTTTCGGTGTTTACAACGCTTATCGGTTTGGTTATTCGTGGATGATTTGGTAACGGAATCCAACGTGATTCTCTGGAAAGTACAACAAATTAACGCTCTCCTAGAATTTTTTCCGATTAAAAATTTTTTTTCGATTATTTTTTTCGATTATCGATTAAACTACTTCTGTCGTGTGGAAGGTCGTGGATTTGACATTCCATCAAGGACAACCAATCCCTTTACGATCTGTTCATTCATTTCGATGGTAAACTGGAGTTTAGAAGCAAGCTGATGACGAATTTCTCGCCAAATGAAACGGAGACAAACTCGTCATCAGCTTGCTTCTAAGCAGTAAAATAATTACAAAAAAAAAAATGGAAAAAAGAAAAAAAAAATAGAAAAGGAAAATGGGAAATGAAAATTAGAAAATTTGTGAGATTATTATAATGCTAAGAAATGTTTCGATCCATTAAGTCATATACATTTCTTACCATTACCACAACTGGACCTCGTCAGTACGAAGGTTGTAGTAATTGAAGTTAGTAAAAG